TTTTGCTTTTTCTTTTTGAGAGAAAGTGGTGGCAAACTCAAATTATTTACCTTGATCAGTTACTTTGCTTGTCCCTTGAGGATTCTCTTCGTCACTTACGCTGTTGCTTTTCTTCTTCTGGCCATTAATGTAAGAAAGGAGTTTCCTTCCAAAAGAACGTATTTCTCCAAAGCCTGGGTTTCCATTGCTTATTACTTTTATTATTTGCTTTTTAAATTTAAAAAATAAAAAGTTATTTTCCTTGTATGGGGGAATAACCCACCTGGCATGCCAAAACAAGCCACACCCAGAAACATTCGGAAGAAGCGCACGCAGGTTTCGTGGGTTTGTGGGAAGCAAGGACGATGACTACCATTTTCTTCAAACCTTTTTAGGTAATCCATACTCTCATATTTTTTGTCCGTCATTTCATCCACTATGATACCTACAACATAATCAATAACACCCATTTCCTGAATATATTTACAAAAAATTCACACCCAAGCTTGCATTTGATAGAGAAAATTTGCTTACAGCGGTAGAGGAGCCGATCAAACAGTCCAAGACGACTACCACTCTTAAATGCATTAGCCTTCGTGGCTAGAACATGGAGAGGAGATGAACCATTTACATTGAAAGCGTTCACAAGCTCTCGATATTTGCATATGATTTGAAATGCCAAATCTATGAAGGAAAAGTTTGGCTATAAGAACAGAGTTTTTCATCAAAAGATTCAAAATAATATTAGGAAATTGCAAATATATATTGAATCCAGGAGAGAGTAATCAAACGAAACTGACCAAAGTGTTCTCCATCAATGGCAGCATGAAGAATGGTATTACCGCTTGCATCCCTGCTGCGTATATCCCAGCGCTTTCCTTGGGGGTAACAAAAATAGAGGCAAAAGAAAGCATTTTTATGGCCATACTTAGCTGCCAAGTAAAAAGGGGTCTCATTCTGTTTGTTTTTTTCAGCAATGAGATTAAAATCTTTTGAGGCCATGCAATGGCACATGTGTGCATTTCCCAGTATTGCTGCTGTGTGAAGTGGTGTATTCCCTCTCTTATTCTTCACTTTCAAAACATCCGAAGCATTTTCTCCCAGGATTTCCACCAACTGACACACGAACTCTAGCTTTCCACCTGAGACTGCTAAGTGCAAAGCAGTGTCTTCTGCTTCTGTAATCTTGGCCTTCTGGCTCTCAGGCTTCTCCATGTAGGCCTTCACCACATTCTGCCACTGGTTTTTCATGGCATACTCGAACAGTCTTTCTGATAGCTCTATTAGTTGCAAAGCCTGTTGATCTGCTGCCTCTTTCTTTTGCGATGCAGATGGTTGCACCTCTGGAACTTGCTCCGTCGTCTCGTTCTTTTGTGCTTGCTGATCCATCATTGAAACCTGCTTTCTTCTCTTATTTTGATCAATGCTCAATTAAAGATAGTTGATGTTCTCCGCTATTTATAAGTGTCAGTGGAATCGTCCCCTCAAAGGGAAAACAACTAACCAATGCATATCCCCGTCGTGTTCCATGCATCCAACGTCATATATCTGCATATTCCATTTTTAATATGACCGAGGACAGCTATAAATTCAAAGTACGCATTTCTCCAAGGAGGAGAATA